ATTTTGACTAAACATATTTTGAAAGAGACCAAGCTGACAGGCTCTGAATTTCCCTCACTCTTAAACATTACCTTCAATTTTGATAGGGAATCTTTGATACTGTGTCACATTGCTACGATTTACACAATTAGTGCATTACCCACTAATTTAAAACTTTTCCGAAAACCACATTCTGTCCTATGTTTTTCTCATAAAATGAAATATAATAAAAATTTTCAGTCCAATTTTTAAAACAGTTTTTTATAATTATAACCAACGTCCAAATCTATGTAAACGTAATAAAATCAGAATGAAACTTCTCGGTGAGATCTCACTGAAACTGTCACGAAGCGTCACATCATAGATTTATGAGAATGTTGAAAATGCGCGGGCCGCATTAACACTAAAATTAGCTGTCATGTATTGGGCCGAAAAAATCGTCTTGCGGGAAGCAAATGGCCCGCGGGCCACGAGTTTGAGACCCTTATTTAAGGAAATACGATTTTCATAACATTGCGTCAAGCTGTTTTTTTTCTCAGAACTGACCTCCTGCCTACTGTTAGGTCACAATGAAACTGCCTGACTTAGACCTTTGTTATGATAATCAAGGCTTTATTTAAGACGTTCCGAGAAAAAGATTCACCTTTGCTGCTGACCTAATTTTACAGTTTGGTTCTCGTGAACGCTATTTTAAATTGATTACATAAGTATTCACAGGATACCCTCTCACAGGATACCCTCTCGCAGGACACCCTCTCACTGGTTACGCTCTCACAGCATAACCTCTCGCAGGATACCCTCTTGCAGTAGACCCTCTCGCAGGATACCCTCTCGCAGGACACCCTCTCACAGGTTACGCTCTCACAGGATACCCTCTCGCAGGATACCCTCTCGCAGGATACCCTCTCGCAGGATGCCCTCTCACAGGATAACCTCTCACAGGATAACCTCTCGCAGGATACGCTCTCGCAGGACACCCTCTCGCAGGATACCCTCTCGCAGGATACGCTCTCGCAGGATACCCTCTCGCAGGATAAGCTCTCGCAGATACGCTCTCGCAGTATACGCTCTCGCAGGATACCCTCTCGCAGGATACCCTCTCGCCGGATACCCTCTCACAGGTAACGCTCTCACAGGATACCCCTGGAAGAAGCTCTCCAAAATAAGTTGTGCATACAAAAATAAAAATAAATATAAACAGGATGTTTCGTTCATATTCAAGATCCCTTGAAATACGGGTCTCTAACTTGTTAATGGGTTTTCAAGTATTGTGCTTAACAAAATAGCATAGAAAGTGAGACTATCCTCAGTTGAAAAACTTGCGTCGTCACTGCGAACAGCGGCGACACGGAGAGATTCCGGGAACTCGTTGCAGGTATAGCGACAATTTTTATTTGATTTATGAGGTTTTCGGAGAACGTTTTATAAACGGGTTGCTGGCGTGATTTTTGAGCGTGTTGGCATTTTGAGTTGGTGGAAAGTGGTTTTTGGCCGTCAAAGACGCCGGTGACACGGAATTATGTGACCGAATGTGCACAGTTTATATACTGTTGGAAGCCAACTTTAGCAACTGAAGTGATGTCTCAATAAAATATTACAAATGTAAAGGAAGAATTACAAATGCTGACATCAAAGTGACTGCGATGAAATATATACAGTTCAAAACTTGGGATGTATGCTACCGGAGTCAAGTCAAAGTAGCCAGATGGTTCAAGATCCGGTAAGATGATTTAGTTTTCATGTACCATTCAAACCAAATCTCCAAATATATAGCAGAAACTTGACACAAATTGCAGAGTCTAATTCAGTCTTATTTCTATTTCTAATATTATTTGGCACGTTAACCAATTATTTGTGTTGCGAAAAGTTGCAATACGGATCTCACGAATTAACCGTTATTTTGATTTTGATTTTTTTGTGTGTGTGTGTGAAATTGTAAGGATCGACAAAATAACAAACCAAACCATACCAGGAACGGCCGACTTACGTTTGGATAGTTCGGTAGTGTTGAGTGTAAACCGCGCTTTTAGAACAGGTCAGCGGGCCAGGTCTTGGGCTTGGACATGCCCAGAGGACTAGGCCCACATTTTGATCAACCTGACGTTGACTTTCTATATGCCTATTCTACTACGGCCTAAATAACTTCCACAAGGCCCATGGGGCAGCATGAGGCATTTGTTCGTAAATTCCTGGTCACGTTTAGAGTCCAATTTCGCAAAATCAATTTGACAGAGAAAGTATTGTTAGAGTTACGAAGGTAAATAACAGTGAACACTAACCATTTTAGTACTGAAGTCCATCAGTGTTGCAGTAAACTAAGTTAATTTAAAGAAGCTCAGTGTCATTGACAAAAAAAACAAAACAAAAAACAACAACTTCGTTTGGTGACAACTGTCTCTGTGCGGAATGGAACTTGATTTATACTATACAGGATGGTCCAGTATTCTGATGAGAATGAATGCAAAGCAACTAACTCACATTGAGTTTTCCAAATGGTTGTATGTCATCTCTCTGTGATAAAAACAGAGATTTTTTAATTTTTGTCTGTCCTTACTCTGTGATACATATTGAGTTTTCCAAACGTTCGTCTGTTCTCACTCTGTAACACATATTGTGTTTTCCAAATGTTGGTCTGTCCTCACTCTGTCATACAAATTGGGGCTTCCAAATGTTGATCTGTCCTCAATCTGTCATACAAATTGGGGTTTCCAAATGTTGATCTGTCCTCACTCTGTCATACAAATTGGGGTTTCTAAAGGTTGGTCTGTCCTCACTCTGTCATACAAATTGGGGTTTCCAAATGTTGGCCTGTCCTCACTCTGTCATACAAATTGGGGTTTCCAAATGTTGATCTGTCCTCACTCTGTCATACAAATTGGGGTTTCTAAATGTTGGCCTGTCATCACTCTGTGATACAAATTGAGTATTCGAAATGTTTGTCTGTCCTCACTCTGTGATAAAAACACTTTAAAGACTTTAACTTTTATGCTCCTGGTAGTTAGAAACTAATTCTGTAATCGACTCGCACCAGAAGACTTATACGTCAGATATTCATTGCCTTAAATTTCAGCTGCCTCAATTTGAAGTGAAGCTCGAAATATTTTGATAACAGCTTTCCAATCACCATCAGCAATGTAATAAATGGATTTGCAAGACAAATGAATATCCCGACAGACTGCAAAATCTTTAAATCGGTTTGGAAGCTCATCTTGTAATTTGTGTGTGTGTGTGTGCATAAATCAAACATTTGATCTAACTTAATCAGTATCTTATTTATTCACATAATTATAGACCTGATTTTAAAATTACTTGCCAATAGTTCACGTTTCACCTGAAAGGAATGTCTTTTCTGTTGAACCTGGATGTCTTACTTTTGCTCACCAGGTAACGTCAACTTTTAAGCTCACTAGATACCCAATAACGTCCACCAAAAAAAAAAAGTTTAAGGTACCGTCTTGTCCACAGTTATGAGAAAGTCCAGAAAGTCCAGAGCTTTCGTTGGCCTCACAGTTGTGATAAATTCAATCATATTCTCAAAACAACAAAACCGCCCCAAAATTATATTTTCATAACCCCGGGACAGACTTTGAGAACCCGTGCTTTACATGTGATAGATTTGACAATACTTTTACTTCTGTTAAAGGATTTATGAATTACTGACAATTATGAAACCAAATGATGCGTATATATTTTTTTCCAATTCGTGCATACGTCTGTTCAGTGATCTCTTCAATTTATCGCAATACTTATTTCATTTGTTTTACTTTAGATCTCTGTAACGGACTATGTTTTCACATGAAAACAGAGAGGTAGCATGAGTGAACAGTGAATTGTGTTGACCATGTATTTTGAGATGCAAATGTGAACTCCACGTTTTTGGAGAGCAAAATTATGTTTTTGTCAGAGCGGTTGTTTTCCACGCTTTGCTGGTAATAAAGTATGAGTTGACTGAGATAGTGAGAGCTGAGCGCAGAGCAGTAGAGAATATAGTAGCGTGAGAGCTGTGTGATTAGACAGTTGACAGTTTAGTGTGAGGACGTGTCTTTATTAATGATGGAGTACTATGGATATATATATGAAATTACATTCATGCAAGGATTATTTATTAATATTATCAATATAAAGTGTGTTCAATAAAGTACTGTAAGTTTAACCAGGATTCAGTATTCTTATTTGCGTGCCCGGATTATAAGTGGAAGAATGAAGAAGCCTTAGTCGGCATCCTGAAATATCAACATAACATAAGTAACCATACTACTGACATAACCCACAGCATAAGAAATAAGATCCCACGCCATGTCAGAGTAGATGTGTTACAAACGCAAAATAGGTCACCTTATTGTCTAGTTGCTATGGATGTTAAGTGTAAGGGGGGTAGATCAACACTGCATTTTGATGAACATTGAACCGGCCCCCCTTGTTTAAACAGTTTGAAAACCTTTGGACTGAATAAACCCATCCATACACCCAAAATGACCCCAACTTCATCCCCTGACTTCACCAACCCACCTCCCCCCCGCCCCTTCAAACATCCCTCCTTTATATACTTCAAGCTTACCATGTACCCTAGACAGCATCCCCTGTCCAATCCCTCTCTTCACATTCAAAGGTGGCCCAGAGTCAGTTCTCCCTCACATATTTTCCTCCCAAAGAAACACAATCTATTATTCGCTTTGTGGTTCTGAAATGATCTAAAATAAGCTATATATCTCCGCTTGATCTAAATTGTTAATGTGGCCTTTAATTTCACCAAAATTTGCATATTTATGCAAATGTTCCGATCTTTATTTTTCCTTTGATTTATAATGGGTGGTTTTGGTATGCCCAGGAAATGGGTGGTGTTGTTAAAACAAAATTGCTTATGGATAATTAACAGTTTGGCTTCCAAATGGATGTAGTTAAATGTTTTGATAATTTATATATATAATTGATCTAAAAGTCACTATAGTAAATTCTTTAATAAACACGAGACCAGGCACATTGTTAAAAATAAGTAATACATATTTATTATCAATAATTCATGCAGAACAAGATACTATCTTTATATGCCGTTGTAATTGTTTCAATATTTATACCTACATAATTTATACCCATGAAACCTCAAACGTTTGTTATAAACCTGCTTGACACATCTAAATAAAACTATTTAAAAAATATGACACTTTAAGAAACTAGACTAGTTATGATGCATTTAGTTTTCCTTAAATAACGTCTAATAATAGATATGTAAATTTGTCAATGGTTTCAAAACATCGAATTAACGAAATGTACTGTAAGAATGGGCATTCGAGTACTTGTTTATCGCTCTAAGGCAGCGGTTCTAAACCTGTGGGGGTCGCGGGACCCTTTTCCAGGGGTCGCCTAAGACCATCTGAAAACATATATCCTTACAGCTATGAAGTAGCAACGAAAATAATTGTGTGGCTATGTCGCTTTAAATTCGCTCTATTGTCGCTTAAATGCCAATCTAATGTCGCTTTAATGTCGCTCTAATGTCGCTCTAATTTCTCTCTAATGCCGCTTTAATGCCAATCTAAAGTCGCTCTAATGTCTCTCTAATGTCTCTCTAATGTCGCCCAAATGTCGCTTTACGCCTCTAACCATAGAATTTTTTTTCGATTTTCAAGAAATTTCGCCAAGAGTCTTAGGCCCGTTTTTACAACACCATAGGATGCAAGGCTTATTCATTATAGGATTCTATAATGTAGACACAGAAGAAAATTTAACAGTAGTATGGGCGTTATAACTTACTTTGAGATTTACTAAAAAAATTGTGCGAGCAAAGATTGTTTGTACACACAATGTATTACTCTTTAGAAATATTAGTTTAATTTGCGCTTGTAAAATTGTTCTAATACAGAATAATTGGGGATTTAACTAATCACGTTAAAAACTTAGTCTGGAATATTTTTTTTTTTATAATTTGTTAAAAAAAATAATCTTTTAAAATGTACACTTCGAGCAACACAAACTATAAATTGTCCTCTTTTATTACAGATATGCACTAAAAATTTAAACATCTTAACAAAAATTGGTTACTAAAAAAAATTCTCATAACTATTTGTTAAATCTACAGTTAAAACAAAAATCTCCGGTTTTCAAATTAGAGTCAGAGGCGTAACGAAGGGGTTGGTGGCAGGAGGGACATATGTTCCATAGGGTCGCCAAAATGTGCTTTGATATTATTTTATTGATGAAAATATTGGGTTTGAGAGTTGAAAGGAAAAGAAGGCGCTTTAAAATGAATCTTGTCCCTGGATGCAAATCTTGTCCCCGGGCGCCAAACACTCTCGCTACGCCTCTGATCAGAGTAGGAAGTTGTTTAAGGTCGAAATATTCATTTCCCTTTTATCTTGAGGATTACTGCAAATTCAGTGTTTGATGCATCGGTCAAGACTGAAATCGGTTTACTTTTAAAGCAAAAAGGTACATGAAAGTAAATATCTGAAGGAAATAAATAGTTCCAATAGTTCGAGGACTGGATCAAATAAGATATTATACAGTTAACAAGTTCATAATAAAATATTGAATACAAAATATTCAACTGTTAGTTATATTTGTCTACAATATATAAAATGAAAAGAACAAATTCAAATTAATTATTTCCCATTTTTGTTTTAATAATCATAATCATCTCGCCTGATTATTTTTGAAAATTGAATAATAATGCAAGACTTCCTATGGTAACATGAAAGTATAAATATTATATCACATCAATGCTTTTAAAAATATGAAATAAACTTAATTGTTCATATTGTTACAATTAAAAATAGATGGGACCTTAACGTAAATCCTTCCTTTTTCTCATTTAAAAAGTTAATTTCCAGAAGAAAACATAATTAATTTGATTTTAAAAATAATCAAAGGATGTTTTAAAAAAAAACTTTAAAAAAAAACTGGCCAATGTTATCCTTAAAATGGTGATTTTAAACTTGAGCGCATAAAGAATAAAACAATTGCGGTATTTCTTTAAAATAAGAATTCATCATAAAAAGAAAAGCCATATTATATTTTTTTACTGAAAGTGGCTGTTACTTCTTCTTAGGGCCTTTCCCTCCCTCATACTTCACAGCTTTGTGTATGTCAGTACTTGACGTTTGGGTGGACATGTTGGTCACAACGAGTCTGGGGCCATAATAGCCCATATTTGGTGGGAAGAAGCCCATGGTCGTGGCCTGGTAACCCTGAAACTGGCCTGGCATGGCTGCGGGTGGCGCGAAGTAGCCGCTCATCTGCATGTTGTTAGGGTGCGCGTAGGGATTGATGGCTGTGGCGCTCTGGCTCTGGCTCTGACTCTGACTCCCCACCACAGATATCGCGATCGCCCTCTGGTCTTCGACCCCAACCTTGCTGGCGTGTCTGGCCCCGAAGTTTGTACAGCCAGCGACCATAAGCAGAATGCCCATGGCCATCACGATGTAGAAGCAGTAGTAGGGTAGGACGTAACCAATGTCGGTAAAAATTGCAATGTCGAACTTTTTATTGGGTGGGTCCACAGCATAGATGTCGATGAGAAACAGGACGCAGCCACACTCGGCTAAGAGACCTACGGGGCGAAATAAAGATAATAGGTTTTGATGAAGAAAATCTATCAAATAAAGTCATCAAATTAAATGGTATTGATGTAAAGAAGCAATGAACATGAATCACAATAGTAGCACATGCTTCTTCTTCTGTCCGCTTTTCTACCAGGAGGTATATTTGACGGATGGCCGCAAGGTGTGAGGCCTGCCGGAGGTTCATGTTGTCCTGTCTATGGATTCAAGCTTCAACATAACTTGTTCTACTATTTCATTTACACAGCTTGAAAGCAGTCCTTCAATTATAGATGTGTATGGTGTACTAATACAATCAATCCAAGCCCCTGAAACCTGAGTTCCTGCTATTGTAAGCCTACAATTCAGGTTGGTTGACAGGCATTCTGGCCAGTTGGCCGAACCAATTAATTTTTTGTTAGGCCATAATATACCGGGTGATTCGTATGTCACCAGAAGTGGTTCTTATTTCTTGGTTCCGAATGTGGTCCTTCTTGTGTTAACAGCTGTGCAATAATAAGGAATTTATTTTTCACTGGCTACTCTTCAGAGCTCAGACAGTGTTAATTATCCTAGCTTTGGTCTCCATCATTATATTCTGGGGTCTTAGAAGTGATGCGAGTTGGGCCTGAAATCTGCTGCTGTATTCATATCTCTATCTCTCCTTTCAGTTTTCTGTACACGGTGAAAATACTTCCTAGATATTTAAGCTCCTAGTTTCAAAAGAGTAGCAATCTCTGCCCGTCTTCTTCCATATATGGGTCTACTATAGAACTCTGTGCCCGTCTTCTTCCATATATGGGTCTACTATAGAACTCTGTGCCCGTCTTCTTCCATATATGGGTCTACTATAGAACTCTGTGCCCGCCTTCTTCCATATATGGGTCTACTATAGAACTCTGTGCCCGTCTTCTTCCATATATGGGTCTACTCTAGAACTCTGTGCCCGTCTTCTTCCATATATGAGTCTACTATAGAACTCTGTGCCCGTCTTCTTCCATATATGGGTCTACTATAGAACTCTGTGCCCGTCTTCTTCCATATAGGGACTAAAATAGAACCTTGTGCCTATATTTTTCCATTTGGGGTTTACGATAATTTCTGTGCCCGTCTTCTTCCATAAAGGGACTACTGTAGAACTGTGAGACCATATTCTTCCATTTAGGATTACAATAGAACTCAGTACCAGTCTTCGTACATGTAGAGACTACAATAGAACTCTGTGCCCGTCTTCTTCCATTTAGGGACTACTGTACGCATCTGTAATTGCCCCTGTGGTAAATGTTTCTTAGAGACAATCACTGACTTTTTATAATCCAAATACTGTCCTTCAGGCTCTCATTACTTGCATTTCCATTTCTGTCCCTCTACGATTACATTTTTACCGTTATTTTGCAGTCGACTGTATTTAAACCTATTTAACATCAATTTTCATGACTGCAGCTTCCATTACTACATTGAGTCTCGTACCTACGTGTTTATTAGTTATGTTATCTTAAATAATAGAAAGTCCAAGTCATTAGTGGCATCGAAGTTGTTACGCAATATTGATTTTTTCGTATTTAATTATTTTTTTACAATGCATTGATATTCTAATGAGTGTTTAAGCTATTATTGTTTATTTTGTATTTTTGCGCCTATTGTCTTTTTCCTTCTTGTTGCCGTGTTTAATTTTCATATTTAATTTTTTTTTTTTTACTCTCTATATAATTTTACTGTAATTAATGATGTGCATTTTTCATTTCTGTGTGAATGGTTAAACCTTCTTCCTTTTTATTATATTTCTTATTGCTTGGCCATTATTAAATTTGAAAACTTTTAACGTTTTCTATTATCCGAATGCAACCAGTAAAACGCCGGGTAAATCAGCTAGTAAAAAAAAAATTCTTCCTTATTTCCCTAGATTAGTATGTCAAGCGTAATTTACAACTAAGTCGTTTCAAATGTAACAGTACATACTAGTCACTGGTAAGCAATCTACACATGTGCTGAAAGTGGAAGGTCGAAGACTGGCTAACTATAGTAAACCAACCTGCTATGAGCGCAAAGGCCATGGTTATTTTGGGTATGACGGCCATGCACTGTGTCACCCTGCAGCAGCAGTCGGCACACATCATGATGAAGGACAGCAAGACACAGATGGCACACAACAGAATAGCAACGATGGTCACGGCAAAAATGGCTGTTGAGAATGCTGTTCAAAGAAAGCACATGCATTTTAACATTGGTTTCTATACGTTTCTATAGTTAGAATTCATTGAAACCATTTATAGTTTAAAAAAAAAAACTAAGTCATGTAACGATATTTGTAAGAAACATTTGGTTTCAGATCAGGATATTTTATGTCAATAATTCATACTATTAAAAGCCAAACTACCGGGAGGAGGGAAGGGGACAGTCTTTGGAAACATTGAACGTGAATTTAAAAACAAAAAATTTACACAGCAAAGACAAAACCTGCTGTATCGTTCCGAACGCTGCCTGCTTTTCTCGTGATTTTGTCGCTTTGAGCAGTACACATGCTCCAGTTACCCGTTGAGGCATAACATCTCCCAGAACTACAGAACTAATGGGACGAGCTCGGTTATTTACACACGTGAAAACCTTAAGATTTCCAGCATGGAACAGAACTCTTTGAAAATTTGATATTTCGAAGAAAAAAAGAAGCATCACTTCGAATTAAAGTGACATTTTTTTACGATCGCGTAATAATTCTAAGCTAAAGATAACAAATGATTTAACTTTCAGAACAGGTTCAGCTAGAATTAAACTGTTAGATATCAAAAGTCGTTGCATGTTTCGTTTAAGGAAAATGCCATGGGTGAAGACATAAGGGGATTGCCAAAATCCTCCAAAACCTTGATGAAAATATATTAACAATTTTTTTGCTAGCATCCGTCCGTCACAATGTGACGATGGAGTGGGCTTCGGACGAAATCCACATGGCCTGGGATTATTCTTCAAGGATTATAAGCTGGTTCCCAACAGCAAATCGTCTCTCTCCACGCCGCTGGATAACCCAAGGGAACATCATTGGATGATACAGCTTGGCACCAGTGACGTCGCAGGAGTTGTCGGAATGTTTCATTGTATCAATGTTATCCGCCTTTCGGGGCTCCATCTCCGGGTTTGATTTCAGAGTTTCCTTCTCTTAGATTAAAAACAAATTAATGTCTGTGTATTATTTGAACTTTTATTGTTGAAAGGTGGGAGGAGGATGGGGGGGGGGCTGCAATATTTCAGGCTTTACCACGTGAGCAACTTTTCTTTCGCACGATTTTTTATCGAGAATATACAAGCGTTATTTTCCTGTTCGTCATTATTGCCGCTGTCCGTTTGGTGAAAGTCTGGACCAAAGTCTCTCGTGCCACATTTCAGTACAAGTGGTGACTTACCTGCACCTAGAGTGTACACTTCCACGTTGACGTTAAAGTTGTACTCGTAATACGTTTTCCTGAAGAGTCCGAATTCATGATTGATGTCGGTGACCTTGTTGGTGTACAGGCCCCAGCCTTCAAGGAGCATGGCGATGACTAAGGCGCTCAGAGCCAACGAGAACATGATCCAGCTGGTGACAAGCCTGCACGTGTACGTCCCCATTGTTCGCTTATGCTAATTTGGACCTCAGTCTGGCTTAGCTGAGAAGACATACAAATGGTTATTTATTAATTAATTTTTTTTACTTTAAATTTTCACAAACTTTTCAATTTTTTTCCCCATTGTAATTCAAAGGTATTTAATCAATTTATATAAGAAGGGGCACATGCTATTTTTATAATGTTCATCTAGTTTCTAGCTTTTGAACGGAAACCCGTTTACTTAATACGTGAAACCTCGTCCACTTTTAAAAAGTCCCTTAAAACCCATCTGTTTAGGTCCGCCTATGACCCGTGATGCACCCTCCTTGCCCTGCCTCATTTTCTGTCTCGGGTTAATTCTGTAATATAGGCCAAAACGTGCCAAAGTGTCCTCGTTTTATAGCCATTTTAATTGTTTCTATAGTATAGTAGTTACTATCCTAGTGTCTCATTTTTATTGTAGTTTACATGTTTTTAATAATTGTAAAGCGCTTAGAGCTTTAAGGTAAGCGCTATATAAAAATGCCTAAATAAATAAATATATGATAGATTAATAACTAAATTGTTTATTAACTTTTAGCTTTAAAATTTTAGGTTTACTAACTTTTAGGTTTATTAATGTTTAGGTTTATTAAATTTTAGGTTAATTAACTTCTAGGTTTATTACCTTTTAGGTTAATTAGATTTTAGGTTTATTAACTTTTAGGTTTATAAACGCTTAAGCCTGATGCCCCCGAAACCGAAATTCTCAAAACCATATTTAAATTTTACATTCTTGGGCACTCATTAAGAGTCATCACAAATTTAATATCCTTATTGCTTTTATTTTCATTTTTTACCCATTAAAAACAGAGATTCGTTTGTCAAATAAATATTTATGTTCCAGACATTAATTTATGGAAGAAAATTCAGTTCATTTATTGAATGTTTATCCAAAGACCTAAACCTATAATAGTCGTAACGTCCAAGTAACAGAATATAAATAGGGTAAAGCATTAATAAACAGTTACATTATTCCATGTAAATGATCAAATATTATTTATACTTTTCTGCATAATTAAGTGTTTTTTTACATTATAGTATGGCAAGTTAAACCCTGCAATTCAATACTTTGAAAGCAAAATCACATGTTTAATAAAAAAAATAAAAATAAACACACAACTTTAAAATAGTTGATATGGTATTAAGGATGTTATGTAAGTAATTTGTTGCAAATATATTTATCAACATACTTTGCAAAGTCTGTCCACCACTTACCTTTAATTTTGAATAAATGATATTTCATTTAGTTATATTTTATTACGTCTTAAAAAAAGAGGTCACATTAACTGAATAATCAATTCGGCACAGGACTTATAAGGGAAGTATTTTTCCACTTACCTGGAAGTCCTTTCAAACACATTTCAAGCAATGAATGCCCTTTGAATCATGCCTTGCTTTACTTTCGTGATACTGCACTTCCAAATAATTATTCTTTTCATGAACTTGGGTAACTGATCTCACAGAATAGTGGAGTCTTCATACTTTGTGTATAGGGTCGTAATGGTAAAAGTTAGCTTAGATCTGAAGGACAAAAAAAATGTAAATTATGCATTTTAAATGTAACAAAATATAAATAAACTAGACCCAGATTTTACCCAAAAGGATTTAGTTTGTTGACACTTCAGAAAGTACAATTATTTCAAAATTACGAATTACAAAATTTTTAAATAAATCTAAAACGATCTTTTAAAAGAAATGGATAACATGGATAACAGTAAAAAATAAAATAAATAAACATGACAACAGAAAACAACAACAACCATGTCTTGTCTTGTTGAAATGATTTTTTAAAAAAAATTCGATTTAAAAAAGTTAACTGCAGTGTGACATACTTTAATTCCCTGAGAGCTTGCACTCTGTTCTTGACAAATCAAGGCATCAAAAATACCTCTGCGAGGGTGGGGGGTCCGGTGGAAGGGCGATAGGGAATAATTTTTGTCATTCTCCCATCTCCCACCACAACAACCCCATCTTCTTGAGAATACGATGGCATCTGTTAATTCGTTACGTCAAAGTCTTGTTTTTCTGATATCCGCCCCTCACAATATGGTGGTGGTTTAGGCGTCACAATGTGGCTGTGGTTTAGACGTCATAATGTGGCTGTGGTTTAGACGTCTCAATGATGCGGTTGTGTAGACGTCGCAATGTAGTAAATGTGTAAGACTTCACAGGAAAAAAAATCATAAGGCCTGGTATTTTTTTCTTTGGGTGGATGAGCTGGTTATTTAGACAGCAAATCACCGCTCTCTACGCATCTGGATAACCCAAGGGAACATCATGTGTGGGTAATAGACCTTGGAACCAGTAGCGTCACAGGAGTTTGCGGAATTTTACACATAATAAATAAAAAAATATATTTATATGTATATATGTTATAAAATTGTGAAAGTAGTTAAAATTTTGATCTCATAATTCATAAAAGTTTGAGAATTACTAATACTTGAACTCCTTGTGGGGCAGGGGTATGTCATATCACGCTGTTTCCTTTGACTAATAGTACAATGCATGTTACAGACCGTGACAATGAAGAGTTGTCTTCACAATAACAAGCGAACTTCATGCATTGTTGCTTCCTTGCACTAATGTTAACTCAGATTGAGGCTCTATGCACGTATGCTCTCTAAGTATTGTACTAAGTCAAGTGGCATTTACTTGGCACAAGAAGTTAAATTCATAGTTAGCCTCATGTATGCTCTTGTATCATATGCATGTTCACCCAATGCAGGATAAGACACTCATTGCAAGTAGCTTGCACAGTCCACATGTGGAGACCAGCACCATTGAAAGTCGTCATCAGACTACACTAACAGGGGCGCCATCAGCAAACAGATTACACTAACAGGCGCCCCATCAGCAATTAGACTACACTAACGGGGTTGTCATCGGTAATGAGACTACACTAACAGGGGCGCCATCAACAATCAGACTACACTAACAGGCGCCCCATCAGCAATCAGATTACACTAACAGGCGCCCCATCAGCGATTAGACTTCACTAACGGGGTTGTCATCGGTAATGAGACTACACAAACAGGGGCGCCATCAACAATCAGACTACACTAACAGGCGCCCCATCAGCAATTAGACTTCACTAACGGGGTTGTCATCGGTAATGAGACTACACTAACAGGCGCCCCATCAGCAATGAGACTACACTAAAAGAGTGCCATCAGAAATCAGAATACAATAACAGGCACCCCATCAGCAATTAGACTACACTAACAGAGCGCCATCAGCACTCAGAATGCACTTACAAGGACGCCATCAGCAATCAGATTACACTAACAGGTGCCCCATCAGCAATTAGACTACACTAACGGGGCTGTCATCGGTAATGAGACTACACTAAAAGGGGCGCCATCAACAATCAGATTACAATAACAGGGGCGCCATCTGCAATCATACTACACTAGCAGAGCGCCATCAGCACTCAGAATGCACTTACAAGGAAGCCATCAGCAATTAGAGTTCACTAACAGGTTCGTCATCAGCAATCAGACTACATTAACAGGGGCAATTTCATCGATCAGATTATACTAACTGGGGCGCATTCAGCAATCAGACTACTTTAAAAGTCTTCAAAATCAATTCTGCTACATACGAGACTCTATACCTGTGACACCTGGACATTCTACTCACCAAATGCACAAACGCTGAATTTATATCGTATTAAAAGTTAGAATTTTCTTGCGAAACTTCAAACCAAAAGTTACCAGGCAGGTCACTCCAGCATTTTGAACCCCTTTTAAGCGAGGTCACAACGACCCTGGGTGAAAAATAGTTGACACTTGGCATGCATTCCGAGAATGGAGTGAATAATTTTTGGCAAGCATATAACACATCAAAATGTTCTGTATTTTGACCTGGACTCTCTAGTATAGAAGAATAATGATTTGGCATCAGATGGCATTGTATAGAAATGGCGTCATGCAGGTAAAACATGAACTGACCCGTTGTAGCTCAGCTCAACATAAGGGGGAATCCAGAGAATCCAACCAAAGCATTCAGCTCAACATAAGGGGGAATCCAGAGAATCCAACCAAAGCATTCAGCTCAACTTAGGGGGGAATCCAGAGAATCCAACCAAAGCATTCAGCTCAACTTAAGGGGGAATCCAGAGAATCCAACCAAAGCATTCAGCTCAGCTTAAGGGGGAATCCAGAGAATCCAACCAAAGCATTTCCCAAGGAGGTCACGTACTATTATTTGTTCCTAAGAATTTACCGTGGAAGGCTTTGACCGCACCAACCGCCTGAACGCTTTGACCGTTTCAACCATCTGATTGTATCGACCACACCAACCATCTTATGGCTTTGACGGCACCAACCATCTTATGGCTTGTACGGCACCAACCATCTTATGGCTTCGACCGCACCAACCGCCTGAACGCTTTGACCGTTTCAACCATCTGATTGTATCGACCACAAACCATCTTATGGCTTTGACGGCACCAATCATCTTATGGCTTTGACGGCATCAATCATCTTATGGCTTTGACAGCCCCAATCATCTTATGGCTTTGACGGCACCAATCATCTTATGGCTTTGACGGCACCAACCATCTTATGGCTTTGACTGCACCAATCATCTTATGGCTTTGACGGCACCAATCATCTTATGGCTTTGACTGCACCAATCATCTTATGGCTTTGACGGCACCAATCATCTTATGGCTTTGACGGCACCAACCATCTTATGGCTTTGACGGCACCAATCATCTTATGGCTTTGACGGCACCAACCATCTTATGGCTTTGACGGCAACATTCATCTGATGACTAGAGTAGCGTTTGTAAAGAAGATGGATGAACACACGCTCCTGGAAATTTTTCCTACACCAATTATTATGTTTAGTCACTCGTGAGTATTATGTTCAAAGAAAACAATGCTAGAAAATATCTCTTTTGGGTCATAGGAAAGAATAACAGTTTACAGGACAATTTCCGACATGTTCGGGTAGTACGTTTATATATATATATACTAAACAGGAAACTTACGTTTTATAATAATCGATAGTAAAACATGTTAAGATATTAAAAAAAAATTAATAAAAAAGTTTGCGGGAAAAGCAATACAATTCCTCTTGAGTCTCATGATCTACATAATCGATCGGATCAGTTTTAGCCTTCAAATTATCTACAAATACAGATATAGCTTTGGTATAAGTTTAACTGAAAATGAAATGACGTATTATGCGTTTGTCAAGACTCTGACAGCATTGAGATCGTGTACCGCCAACAAATGCATACATTAGGCAATGCAAAATGTTACACGTCTACCTGCTCAGGTAATAAAAGCCAATAATCAATGTCGAGAAATGAAGAGATCTCAATTTAATTTATTCAGATTTTACTTTTACCGCTACGCTAAATGTCGATTGACTATAGATCTTTGTTTGGACTTGCTGAGAAATAGAAGAAGAAAAAAACCAACAACCCATATTAGTTTAGATTGCTGTTTCAAATGTTTCAATGTATAGGATCCGCCCACTAGGGCACCCCTGTTAGTGAGGTCTGATTGCGCCCTTTAAGTGTAGTCTGGTTGCTAATGGCGCCCCTGTGAGTGTAGTTTGATTGCTGATGGCACCCCTGTTAGTGTCGTCTGATTGATGACTTTCAATGGGGCTGGTCTCCACATGTGGGCTGGGAAAGGCTTTTTCGTATTCATGTTCAAACTGAAGCTACTCGCAATGAGTGTCTTATCCTGCATTAAGTGAACTTGCATATGATCCGCCCAAACCGTTATGCTATTTTTGTATTCAATTTTGATATTTTTACTAACGTCTTCACATGTCAATATTTTGAAATTATAAGTAGAAATAGTTTATTTTTAAATATCTTATCAATCAGCTATCTCATCAATTTTATGTTGATTTAATTTTTTAATACTTAAACCAGGATAAGATGAATGTGACGGTTTAGTTCATTAACTATTTATATGAAACGCTCTCAGAACAATACCACATTAAAGACAAATTACATTTTAAAGTCATTGTTTTTCAATTAAAAAAACCTTTGAGGAGTTTCAATTTCTAATACCTCTTTTAAATATATTACATTTTTTATTTGCATTAAGGTTTTAAATACAACTAGTCAATATACCCGTCTTTGCTCGGGTTAGCATTAAGAAAAACATCTCCTAAGACTTATCAGTGGACACGTTAATTTAGGGCACTATCAGTAACAAATCGATGCAGTACTAATGAAATTTAGTTTTCTATATGGAAATATGGACTTTTTGTATAAGACCCTTTAATAAGAAAATATG